ACGGCAACATAGGACGTAGGAGGGTCGTGAGACTGCATTGAGCTCGAGCACTGCAGTCACTTCACCGCATGACTTTCCTGCACCCGTCGGTCACATCATTCAAAGCGCAGGGCTCGGGGTTCTAGATAGAGTCAGGGCGACGGCATATTAACCGACAGTTGAATAAACTACCGAAGCGAAAAAGCACACACATGTGCCTTCGCATCGATCCATACTTACGTGACATCGGGAGCAGAAATGGTCTTCTTCGCCATGACTCCGCCTCATCCCAATCTCCTGCGTCTCAGGCGGCCTCGGAGGGGTCTGCCACGCTTCATTTCCTACTCAGTCACCAGAGCTCCTCCCATTCTGGAAGGAAAAGGGGGAATCCTTTTGAGTTGCGGGGGGGGAGGGGGAGGGGTGATCGTTTGGATCCTAGTTGTGCGGATCCGACGAGCCCTGATGCTCCTAACAGGGGCAACCCAAAAAGCCCAGGCAGAGTGCCGCAGCCCGAGTCCGACATAGCAAAGTCCACAGGAGGCCCTCGAGCCAGCTCTGCTTCGCTTTAGGGTTTAGGATGGGTTGAGGGTTGAGGGAACTTAGATGTCAATGTGCCCTTGCGGTAGTGGAAGTTTTGATGAGGCAGTCGGGAGGCATGCTGCTGACGGTCGGTAGCCTCTGCGGATGTCGTGCAAAGAATTCGCCAGGCAGGCATGCCTTTATCCATAAAAAACTTCAGCATCAGGATCCGCACAGAATGTCCGGGCTCTAACTCAGTGGATTTCGCTAGGCAGGACAGATTCCAGCCGTCGGCTTTGGAGCACCGAAACTGCAAGAACTCCTGCCGACTGTTTAACGTTGTTTAACGACCGGCATGCCTGCTCAAGCTCTCCTACTGGCAATCGCAAGCTCGAAGTCCCAGGTGTCCGGCTGACTTGTTCGGGGTCTTAGCGGTCTTAGCGGTGCAAGCAACCGCAGCGCAGGCTCTGGTGGTAGTGGGGTATCAGTGACACCTCGTGCTTTCAAGCTGGATTGACCCCTATTGCGATACCTTTAGACAGCGCAGCTTCCTGCCTTGCGGGGTCGGAGTAGCAACTGCTAATCATCGCACATATGGGGAACTACAGGCCCTGGCGGTAGAGCACGGGCGCTGTCCGTGTCCAAACGACCGACAACTCCAACCCCACCGCCTTTCGACATCAGAGCCATGACAATTATCCACCAGAAGCCCAGATGCGAAGAGGCCACCCTTCCACCCCCTAACAATCTGATCCTTAACAACACCGTGAGCCGTTCGGAGATTGAAATCACACCAAACGCCCATATGCCAATGTCAGTGCATCAACTCCTGCCACTACAAGAGTCTTTCGTAGATAGTCCCACCAGGTTCGCCGGCAAGTCACAATCGCCTTGTTTTCAACAGGGAGCTTAAGGACTTGCTTTCAGGGAACGGGTAGACTTCGTCATCAAACTCTTGTTCCGCTACGAGTCGTGTGGAAGCCGCTGGTCCCCGACTCCCAGGCAGGCTGCTGCGCAAGCATCTGGCCAAGAGCGCCGCTCAGGCTGCACGGGTCCATAGAGACTTCGCGCCAGACTTCGCCCTGTCCCTGTTCAAGCGCTCGTCACATCTAGAAGCTGTACTTCGATATAGATTACACGAGTATAGATGACCGAAGAGGTATACTTAGTGTATAACCCTTGGCCATATGGCAATTGCGTAAAATAGAAACCGAGTTTGAACAGCACGGATAATTATTGCAATGGCACTTGCCTTACTCGTTGGATGGGGTTGACCCTATCGCCAAGCCCCAAACCCCTATAGTTGCCCAGATGAGATTAGGGCTAGCCCAAGCAGACGCTTAGATGCAAAAGTGGCGCAACGAAAAGTTGGCTCAACTGCCGCGCCCAAGGGGTTTACACCCCTGGGCACAGTAGGTGCATGAGAGCACTCCAGCTGCCTAAAGCTGCCCTTGGTATCCGGGTCCGGGACCAATTGGGAAGGAACGACTAATAATTCAGGCAGGGACTGCAAGCTAAAGCCGAAAAGGGCAATGATGCCAATTGAATATAGTCGGAGACTGGGAGGTGACTCCAAAGCCTTAACATCTTGCATCCCTGCCTGACTCATGTTCGATCCTTCGGACAGCAAGCGAACTAAATACTAAACATTTCAGCACGCGTTCACACGTCGTGCGCACCTCTCCGAAGACCAGCCAGCTCGTAAGTTGCACCTTAAGAAAGTCCTAGCAACTCATGACCTGTAGAGGGATCCCGCCGAGGTCCAAGCGGGCCTGCCGTTCATCTAACAACATTGGGCAGACACGCAGAGGCTGCAGAAAGATTCACCCCCCCGCCCCCCGCTCCCTCCCCTCGTCCCACTCCTACCGCCACGACTGTCACCCATGCAAACAGTACAAACACTTTCCATACCCGTTGCTAGGGCAAGTGCTTGCCACGAGAAGAGATCACAGAAGCAAGGCCGCCACACTTTCTCGCGATCTCAAAGCTGCTCTATTTGCCCATCAAACTGCCAGCTGATTACCAAAAAATACCGCAGGATCCTCTTCCATTCTTGCCGTGCCGACAAACATTGCGTGCCATTGAAAATACTCGCTACCTACACCACCACCGCAAGTTGCCACAAGCCGCAATCAATGAGACGAGCAAGACTAACGAACAACAGCGACCTCAACATCAGCAATTTAGCACAAGCAGAGCACAAGCAGTTCTTGTTGGTGTCGGTGTTGGTCTTCGTAGATATAACGAGTGCTCTGACCTCTACCTCATCGTAAGTCTGGCGATTCACACTGGTGCTTGGCGTGGTACCTTCGACAGGATTGCACTCCAATTCCTGCGGCTAAACAGAAAAGTTCTACCTGGCAATGTATGGGCCACTCTTGTTTGTTGAACATGGCCACATCGGATTTCAAAAAGCACCGGTTGCCGATGCAAGAGCCGCGGCTCGGGAGCGCCGAAGCATGTGGCTCCATGCATCCCTGAAAAAGCGTGCAGCAACTGTCGCCGGAGTTCCAGCTCGTGTTCAACTTTCCTCTGTCCCACCTTGTCCTGTGCAACGATTGTGTGCCTCAGAGCCTTAGAGCCCCTGTACAAACCATCCGGCTGGTTGTGTTCAATCCTGAATCCGTCCAACTCCGAGAATGGCGCACGCCGATTGCCCAGGTCCGTGCTGAGTTTGCCCGTGCTCCCGTGCGATACAGCATCGGGCGGGCTTCTCATGGCCTAGGCGTGAAACAAGAGAGCCTCGAGGCACCTTGAAACTTTACCATGACCATTTTATCATGACGCTAGGCATACTGTTTACACAAAACACGAGTAATTAGGCTGAGGCTGCAAATCCCTCGCGGTGCCCTGAAAGCCCTTCGGTCTGCCAAAGGTTCCTTCTAGTTCCTTCAGATATATCCAGGGTCGGAGTCCATGAATGCGGACATGCAACGCTGGTCTGGTATAGGGACGGTAAAGGGTTTGCAGCGGTTTGCAGGTTGTGTTTTTGAGAAGGAGGCCCCGCGGCCCTGGGGTAAGGCAAAACAGCAACTTGGCGGATCTCGACCCTGGGACCATGGTGTACAAGCCGGCTGTATCCAAGCCCTTGCGCTCCTGATCGACAGGATGACATCAAAGACGCTCACATTTGCTAGCGTGAATTCGATGACATCAACGAGTTTCAAGGGTTTTGGCCGGGGATGTGCAGCCGCATGCAGCCGCGGAAGACTTTTTTCGTGTCGGTATTCGTTTCAGTCATTGTTGGGGTCGTTGCCGTGTCGGTGCATTGGCTCTCAGCCTCCTAGCCGATGCTTCGGTCGACGCCTGGCTGTCATCTCAGTGGGTGTCCTGGCTGGTGCTCTGTTTGATAGTCGGTCCTTTCGGTCATCGCATCGACGGTACCACGACATCGACTGCAAGCCGGCAAGTCCGAAGCCAGTGCTAGTGTCGGGTTTCCTTTCCTCTCGGCTTGTTGGTCATGCTTGGTGTCCCGCACCGTGCAGCTTGAGAGACTTGCCACTGGGCATGGTTGATTCGCCGTCGGCGAATCCAAACAGAGATCGCGTTATGTGTGGTTGTGGCTCAGGGCCAAGCGACTTCCTCATCCACAGTCCATAACAAAGATGACTCCAACTGCTGGTAGTATTATCTAGGACGAATTATCAAATTCATCTCTTTCCCTTCCCCTGCTAGGCTGAAGACTCCCAAACCCTAAAGGCCCTAAACCCTGTCACTATCGGGGGCGGTTGGCCTCCGGCCAAGGGCTGCCGACTCCCTGAGGCTCAGATCTACGTCCGCTGCTGGAACGTAGAGGCTCCTTACAGCAACAGCAGCATAGCAGAGCTTCATGATGCTACCATGATAGAGCTCACCTGCTCCCTCCACATCTATGCCTTCTTCTGGTCTTTTCATGGTCACCCTGTGCATGGATCTGAAGACATGTCTCTGGCTCCCTCAATTCACCTATATGTATCATCCACACATTCCAGCTCTCACGCTCTTCTCTCTCTTGCTGCTGGCCTCCCCTGTGCGCCTGTGGGCAGCCGAGTGTCAGACAGTGTGCTGATCGACCTGCAGCGTCCGGCTGGTGACAGGACAGGACTGGAAGCCGAGGAGTGTATGATTAGCCTAGTACCGAATGCATCCATCCGAACCTTGAGGATCGCAGACTCACACGGATGAAGACTCCAATGCCTATTTCCGATTTGAAAAGCCATTCAGCTCGTTTTGGCCGATCAGCTTCTAGCAAGGCCGCAATTTCAAGCCTGCAGCCCTTTGCCGGATGCCGAAACAGTTGATGCGGTCGTAATACCATGTGAGGGCTGCTTGCTAGCTGCTCCTGCTGCTACTAAGACTAAGACTTCTTTAGCGACGACGATGTGGACTGTTGCGACTGGGACAACGACGACTACGACTTCTCCTGCTGCTGCTGCTGCTGCTGCTACTACAGCACAACTCCTATACCCCCTGTCCGCCTATTATTAACACCTTGCCAGGGGCCTGGAATGCCTCCGAGCCACTTCATCATCCAGAACGTATGAGTCTCCGAAGTCGTGGAGCCTCTTGCAGTGAACCATTCGCTTGAACATGAAGGGCGCAGCGTCGACGTCATTGAGAAAGGCATTCAGCCTCCGTACCTCTGACGAAATGCCGTTACTGCGCAGCGTTCAACTCCTTGCGACTACACCGAGCATCTGGTGCCTCACACTCTTGCTCCGCTGAGAGAATAACCGAGCACAGAACATCGCCGCACTGAGACAGAACTTGACAATTCGTGTTCACAGTCTTTATCGCGGTCATGGCCTTTGCTTCAGTCATGCTGAAAAGGACCTTCTGCTGCAGTGGAGCAGCTGCTGCAGACCCCAAAGAACCTCCTGCCCTTCTAGAAGATGTACAATGTTCCGACGAGAACATTGAACCGATTCGCACCTTTGGCTCCTCACCGTGTATCTACTTCACAGGGGCTAGGACAGCTCGATCGCCTCGACCATAGCAGTCGAGGTGCATGCTTGTCGTGAAGTTTCCGGTTTGGTTCGATCATCCGGCCAACTGGGTAGTCCTGACGGAGACAGGAAACGAGATCGAACTACCAGCAGACAGTGACGGGGGTTCCTGGCCTATGCCACGCCCTATGCGACTTGTCAGCTCGAGAAGCCAAGCGCTGGAACCCCTGAAGCAGGCTCGAAACAACCTCCCAGAAGCACCGAACCGAAAGCTCCAGCACTGGCCCATCCTCTGCACGTGAATGCGAGTACCAGGACCTTCGGCGATCCTTCTCGACGAGACTCTCCTTTCAGAAACCGGGGCTGGGACAGCCAGAACTTGACTTAATTTTTGTCCACGGGGTTCGATTCAGGGGACGGCCTCTGGCCTCTCACATTGGAGCAGGCCCAGGCTTCCGGTGATATAAGCGCCCTCTAAAAAGGCTCTAAGTGAATTCAGCTCTGAGAGCTCGGGCCCCTCCCTCTGTGTCATGCAAGGTCCCAACTACCCCCCCCCCCCCCCCCCCCGTCCGGCCTTGCAAGAGTCCGTCTCTCCGCTTGCTGTGGTCGCCATGGTGTCGACCTGACTCTACAGCGTTGTGGCCTGAGTTCTTCGGCACTTACTGCTTGTGCATGGAGGCTTCCAGTTGGCAGTTGAGCTAAACTTGCAGCTCCTGAGAGTTGCCGTGCTGACCAGACTGACCCGAACACTTGGAAACTTCCCGTCCTCACGGGTTGGAACCCAGCATAGCTGCTGTCGCTACCGTCCCTACCACTGCTCTCAGCCCTGCAAGGCCTTCTGGACCAAGAGAGAGTCTTCCGCTGCAGCCGATTTCTCCGCTCTGTCCTCCTTGTCTGGGACTTTGACATCGGGCGCTTGGAAAAGCAGCGCCGACGGGAAGAGAGGCTGAAGAGGATGACTAGCGCCGGCGCCCGCACAACACGCACAGAGTGAGACCGAGAGAGAAGCAATATTGTTTGCACCTCAGCAGCATCATCATCGTCAAATTTAAACCAGGAGGTTTCACACTCGAACGCCTGCCCGGAAGGAACCGACGACTCAGAGAATGTTGGGCAGTACCTATCAAGTGCGAGAAGGATGATAGTCCTGACGTGAGTGTGTGAGCACGCTTGCAAGACAGGCGGACTTCGTCGAGCCGAATCAAAGCTACAAGTCAATCTTCATGACTTTCATGAATACAATGACAAGGGCCGACTGTGCAAACGCAGAGAAAGCTTGTGTGCACAGACCTTTGCACAAAGAACTGTACCGCACGCTGCAAAAAGGAATTGCTTCTCACGAAGAAGGCAAGGCGAAACAGAGCGACAAGCGGCTTCGGATGGGTAACGATGCTGGACACCACGGGGCTGAAATCCAAAAAATCTGAATCAAAGAGGTGGAAACATCTGCAGCTCTGTCGGCTTCGGCTTGGGACGGCATCGGCATCCAAGCACATACGTGTACGGGCCTTGTTGGGAAAATAAGCAAGCCGGTGCGCTGAGAACTCCGACAACTTGTAAAGTGACACCCTCTTAGTTTGTACATGCTTGTAATTACACTGCAGAGGGGTATGGAAAAGCACTCGTAACTTCCCTGGCCCTGCCTAAGGCCTTCCGCAGTCTTCAATTTAGGCGGTATACCGCAGAGTACCAATGCTTTTCCATGCACGAGCACGCAGCCCAGCATATATGTCTGTGACAGTTTGAATATGCACGCCCGTACATCTGGACTTGCGTAAGGAGATGTACAGTTTCAGCACGAAGCACACACGCGATTGCCGGCAAGCTTCCATCTTGCTCTTGCTGCTAATGGCTGTGGCCCAGTCGATTCGGTGCCTCGGCTTTGGCACACAGCGGCCCGACCCCACTAGCCTAGGGTTTAGGGCTTCTTGGGGGCTAGCGGCTAGCGCCAATGAACAAACACATTGACAACAGGGCTTCTGAAAAGCAAGGGAGTTGCCCTGCCACGGAATCTTGCACCTGATGAGCATCTGCCGGCATAGAGCTGGCACCTGGCACGCGAAGGAAGTGTTTCGGAATCTCGAAACGGAGATGAGACCCTTCTGCACGGCCCAGGATAGCCGGTTTTGCGTGTGTGTGTATATATATATATATACACAGCAACATCAAAACAGTCTATACATATATGTTATATGTAATGTATACAGTGTTTTTTTGACAGACAACTTGGCAAGCCATCTTAGCGAAACTCAATAAGCTGCACAGCCTCTCGCAGCCCTCGCCCATGCCGCATTTCGGGAGTGCAGCGTCAAAGGCAAACCAAATCGACACGACCAACCAGCATGCGAACTAACGAAGACTGTATACAGTGTATGTACCTGTGCATAATATCATGTGATATAATACTGCGCAATATAACATAGTTACATATTATAGTAGAGTAGAATATAGCATAATATAGTATAATATCTTATAATATCGCATTCTGTGATATAACGTATTTTCACATAATATGACAGGATATAATTACAGTATGTCATATTTTCATATAACGAAAGAGAATCGATAAGATAATATAATATAGTATAGTGTCATGTAGTACAATCAGTATACAGTGTAATAAAGTACATGATATTGCACACATGATGTAATATACTATACTATAATATACTATATAAAATGTACTATAGTCTAGTACAATATAACAAAATATGTAATATATTAGACTGTGAGATGAAAAAAGATAAAATAACAAAACATAAACTAATGCAGGATAACATTCTATGAGATAATATGTACTATAGTATCATATATTACAATAAAGTATCTAACAATATCTTATGATACTGTATTTTCTCATACTGTATTATAGTTTAAAGGAATAGCTTCTTGCGTGCAAGGCACAACCCATGGCGCTGACCAGAGGCAGAAAGGGCCCCGAACTCTCACTACGCTGCAAAAAGGAGGCTAAGGAAGTGCCGCTTTAAAGGTGAGGAGGACGGGAGTATGATCAGACAGGCTGTTTTTGGAGCAGGCGAGAGCCCACTGACTTGTGGGCGCTAGTCGGCGGCAGTACAGCCACCCGCTGCTTCGAGCCAACAGCAACATGACAAGCGCAAAAACAGCAGAGCATTGCACAAATAGAGGACTGCTCGTGATGAATGGTTTCGCTTCTGTTCCTGCCCTGGTTCTCTGCTTGTCGTTGGGTCGCGTAGTCACGTCACGCTCGTGACGTAGGATAAAGAAGAGAAGCGCCCAACAGCCTGCTGAACCGACCTCACAGAAGGGTTTTTGCCCTAGAGGGAAGGACCAACGCTACGCAGAGTCTCGGTCTGCCGGTTCCCCGTCTGTGTCCCGTCCGCACAGTCCGCCACTGTCCTGCTGACGCTCTTGCACTTCCTGGTTCTGCTCCAGGAGTTTCCTGGGACCAGACTGCCAGGATCTCAGGCTCATCGCCTAGAAACAAAACTCCAATGTAGCATCGGGCAAAGCCTACATCGTCCCATTTATCATAAAATCATAACGGTATAAGTATGAAATACTAAGAACCATAGTCCTACCACTGACAACAAGAACAATGCATCGAAACATGTAGCCGCGAGGGCTCAGCCATGGACCAGCCAAGGCACTCCTCGAGATTCATGCGCTCTTTGTGTAGGGCCGCAAACTCCTCGCAACGGATGATGCGACACCCTACATAAAGAAACATATGCATGCATATATATATATATAGCACATATATATATATATGTATATATATACACATATATATATATATACATACACACATACACACATACACACATACACCCATAC